AGCCTCCCCGCCCCCACTACTCCCCCGCCGCCCCCCCACCTCGTGCCTCAAGCCAGAGCCCACCCACGGGGTGGCGGGCAGCCTCTCTCCAACATACCCAGGAAGACCAGCCGGCTGGGTCCTGGGGTGGACTAGCACCTCACTTCTCATTCTGCTTTACCGGCTTTGAGAGGGCTTTGAAAGTGGGAAGGGAGGCTCTTAAACGGCTGATACGCAACCCCGTAAAGGCCTCGCGCTGTTGTATTTTGTTGGAAGTTCGTATATATACACATTGTATTGAAAAGCATATGGTAGGGAGAGAAATATAGTACATTTTCATTGATAAGCATATAATAAGGATGATGATTCACTCTACAGACTACAAACAAGTGTGCGTCTGTGTGAGATCTTTGGGATGATGACTACAAGGGCCCTGATAATCATAGAAGTAAACCAGTTGTTTTGGCCAAGAGACAGTTTCATACTGGTAACTGTATTAGGCTGCAATTCAGAAAACATACTTTTGAGACTCTTGTCAAATGGATGGAAGAATTTTGTGCCAGTGATGTTGCAGCTTTGCAGAATTTGGCAGCTGAGGACTAAAGAAGCAATAAGTTAAAACCAGGTGACTTTTTTATTGTTGTTGCTATTATTAGTAATATGTTCTGGTTGTGACAGTACAATAGAGAAGCAAATTCTGTTGACTGTATATACTTTACTGGGCTAAACAATTATGCCAATTAAAACCAAAAAACTAAAACTTGACCCTGAAAAGGCGTGGAAATTCTGGCCAAGTCCACTTGACGTTTTAAAACTCTGAATGAGATGAGAGTGGAGAAGAGTCTCAGGACCCAAAATTCAGGGTGGGCTTCCTGGCAGATGCTTAGTTTGTCTACAGAAGAAATAGGTGTGTTGGTTTATGTGAGTGTGCCTGAGGGTGTCTGCAGTGGGATCAAAATAGGTGGATTTAAATATCCCTGTCATAGTTCAAGTTCAGGAGAACTCAAAGAGCATGTTTGCACTTCTCAACTGACTTCAGGAGCCAAGGTGGAAGAGACTAAGATGCCTTTGGAATGATCCCCACAGTCTCTCAACTTTGGGGGGCAGAGATTGCTGTGTTCACATTGAAAATTACATTTGCTCCAAATGTGACTCTATTCCCTTGTCTGCCATGATAACCCCCAAAATCAGGCAGGTGATGTACGTTCAGTGGGAATTTCTAATTCCAGTTCCAGAGTAGCCAGCCCCTAGGTTCAAGGGCACAGACAGAAGGGGCAGCTTCAGAGGTGGGAAGCAAACAGCTATCCCAGCCTCCTTCCTGTCTGGCAGGGAGGGCCAGGAGGGCATGGCATTCACCTCAGAGGACGAGGACAGGTGGGTTGATTCAGAGGCTCATGTGTCTCTGACCCACAGCACAGAGCAAAGTTTAAGCAGGTGCAAATTTTGAAAAAGAGAGGACAGTAGAAAAAAGAGAAATGAAGAGGGAATGAGAAAAAGAAACAAAAAAGAGGGTGGGAATCTGTGAGTATGCTATTAACAGCCACCGCAGTGCGGGTTCAGCTTCTGTTACGTGATGTCAGTCTTTGGGGTATGCCTGTCGTAATTGTCAACCTGACCACTCAAGCCCCACTCTTTTATTTTTCTTTTAAAAATTTTTACTGAAATATAGCTAACTTATAATATTACATTAGTTTCAAGTGTGTGTACACCATAGTTATTCAGCATTTCTGTATCTAAAGAAGTGATCACCACGATAAGTCCGGCAGCCTTGTGACACCGTGCCGCGCTATTACCCCACTCGTATCTTAATCTCTCTTCCCTTTACTCGGTAGATCAAGGGCCTGCGAGAAACATTCTGTTACCCAGTTCCCCCAAAGGACTAGTTTTCTTCATTTAAACCTGTATTCATAGTGGTTGGGCATTTTATGATGCGGACTCTGTGACTTACCTCAATGGACTCATACATCAAACTCTGCCAGTCTCCTTGTGACTGTCAACACTTGGCTGTCAGTTCCTATCACCTGTCCCCATTTTGTCTTCCTTTGGTTCGTTGAGCAGGTGTTGGGACAGCTTTGATTAAAGGGTATCAGAGCAAGGGTACTGACTACATACTTGAGAGCTCAGCTGGGTCACGTGATGGTGGTGGTGGTAATTTTAGTAGTGTGCATTTTGTGTGAGGCAAAGGAAACAGGTCATTTTTTCTTAAAAATGCATTTTCAAAGAGTTTGTGTTAAGCCTCCAGCACTGTCCTAAGCACCTTATATGTATTATGTTGTCTTTTCTGTCAGTGCTTTATCCCCAGTGTTTAAGGTTGTGTCTGGCACATCCTAAGAGGTTATTAAGTATTTGCTGAATGCATGGATAGATGAATCAGTTTTCTCGTTTTATCATTGCGACAATTCTATCAAGTAGATGCTATTTCTCCCATTTTACAAATGAGGAAACCAGAGTTCGGAGGGTCAGGTAATGGCCCAAGATCGCCCAGCTAGTGAATTGGATTCAGACACAAGCATGTTGGACTCCAGTCTGTCGTTTGCTGTGCCGGTCGTCTTTCCATGAATACTTAAAGCTCTGGTCTGCCTTATGTTTGGGGCAAACTATGGCGTTCAGAGTTCAGCAATGTTCTCCCCATCCTTTTTTTTCAACTCTGTATATTCTTGTTGGATCTCCCAGACCCTAAGCAAGGAAGATTCAGTGCCAACTCAATTCTTACTTGGCACAGCAGGCTCATTCCGATTTATCAAGTGATTGCCTCTGGAAACAAGGTCTGGGAAATTACCTGATGTTTTGGCAGATGCTGTTTCCACGTATAGCTATACTGAGATTTTCTTTGTCTCGTGCAAAAGGATGAAAGAGAATTTTGAGATCTTCCAGTTTAATTCGTAATAGGCATTGAAGTGGGTGAAGAGGCTTTCCCAGTGCGATGCCGCTAACCAGGAACTGCGCACATCTCGACTTCCAGTCTAGTCATTGCTTCTTTGTTTTGCCACGCTGGATGCGTTCCTCTTCCTTATTAAGATTGCTAGTGCTTAAGGGTCTGAATTTCAATGGCAACTTTTAATTTTAGTTAGAATTTATTATCCACTTTTGCTTTGAAAGGCATAATGTGACTGGGAAATTGCTATTAGCAAAGAAAGGTAAGGTAAGTTCTGACTGGTTTGCCTCCCTTCACAGTTTATATATTCTTGTCTTATTTTATTTCATTTCCTTCTCTCCCTGCC